ATAAAATGCAAGTCACATACATAATTTTAAATTTTCTAGTAGCCACATTTTAATGTGATTTTTGAGAGAGAAACAGAGAGAGAGTGTGTGCGCATACACGATGTGCACAACTGGGGGGAGGGGCAGAAAGAGAGAGGGAGACACAGAATCTGAAGCAGGTTCCAGGCTCCAAGCTGGCAGCACAGAGTCTGATACGGGGCTCAAACCCACGAACCGTGACATCATGACCTGAGCCGAAGGTGGACACTTAACCAACTGAGCCACCCTAATCACCCCTCTAGTAGACTCATTTTAAAAAAGAGGGGTGCCAGGGTGGCCCAGTCGGCTGAGCATCTGATTCCTGAGTTCAGCTCAAGTCATGATCTCACAGTTTATGAGATGGAGCCCCACGATGGGCTCTGTGCGCACAGTGTGGAACCCGCTTGGGATTCCCTGTCCCCCACCCCGCCCCCCCCTACACTTGCACAAGCACATATTCTCTCTCTATAAATGAATAAACACACACTTAAAAAAAATAAAAAGAATAAAAGTTTAAGAGGCGAAACTTTAACAACATATTTTATGTAACCTAGTATATCCAAAATATTATATAGCATGTAATCATTATGGAAAATATTAATAAGATATTGTACATTTTTCCCATACCAAGTGTATATCTCATGGTATGTCTCCTATCTCATTTAAAACTTTTTTTATTAGGCAAATCAAAGATTCGGAATGAAATTTTTTCCTCTTAGATACACATGCAAGCAAAGAGGCTGGAGAAGTAGCAGCAGACAGATACCTCCCCAGAGAGAATCTACCTAGGGGAGTCAGACGATAAAAACAGCAATAAAGCCCCAGGAATTCATCCAGACTTAGCCAATCAAGTTCTAACAAGGTAATAATACATCGATTCCAACCACACGCTCGCTCCCCAACAGAAGTGATTTAAAAAACAACAACAATGAAAGCTATCAGAAACTCGGTACCCTTGAGAGTTCCACGTCCAGGACGGCGGCATGAGGAGTCCTGCCCACCGCACTCCCTGTGAAACTGATGAAAATTATTTTTAATAAAATAACCATTTAAAGCCTATGGAATTGATTCTAAAGGCATACATCAAACGAGAAGCACCTTTTTCAAGAAATCTACCCAAAGAACAGCTGCAAGAATCTGGGGCTGCTGAACCAGGACTGATCCCTCCTCTCCCTCCCAGTTCGGTGTGGCTTCGACTCCCCTCCGGACAGGTGCAGGGGGGACCTCAGACCTCTGCACTCTTCGTCCTGCCCCTGTTGCCCAGGCCTGGGCTAGGCCCTGGGTGAGTGCCAGTGAGAGGTGGGGGCTCCCTTCTTCCATCCAGGCCCCACCTGTGGGAGACACTGCTGGGGCCCAGACAGCTCCCGCCCCAGCTTGTGAGGTTTCGCACCGAGAGACGTAAGCCAAGGACACCTCAGAGCTACTCCTGCCTGCCGCACCCCCTGCACCCTCCACCCAGGCACTCAGCTCCTAAAGCAAGGATGTCAATCACAGACAAGCACACCACTGTCCACACCCACAGCGCAGGGCTGTACCTCAGTTTGCCAAAGGAGAAAAGCAAGCCTTAGAACAGAGAGCTCCCAACTCTCTCGGAGGAGCTGGTTTCACTTGGAATAGCGTGCAAAAAGGGTTCTGGCCAAAAGGTGCTCTCAGAAAGTGGGAATTTTGGAGAGGTCCTTGAAAAGAGAGTAAAAGTCAATGGAGATAAAGACTGACCTGTCCAGGCTGCCTACTGTGCCAGAAAGAAATGGGGAGACAGGTGGGAAGGGCCCACTGGGGTTAAAACATCTCAAACACTGACCCCAGACACCACCCAATCAAAGGAGCCTGAATTTAATACCATCAGTTTAGAAAGCAAATTACACCCCACAACACTGAAGATGGGATCAGAGAGAAAGACAGAAATGAGGGGTGCCTGGGTGGCTCAGTTAAGCGTCCGACTTCAGCTCAGGTCGTGATCTCGCGGTTTGTGAGCTCGAGTCCCACGACGGGCTCTGTGCTGACAGCTCGGAGCCTGGAGCCTGGAGCCTGGAGCCTGGAGCCTGGAGCCTGGAGCCTGGAGCCTGCTTCTGATTCCGCGTCTCCCTCTCTCTCTCTGCCCCTCCCCCACTCGCACTTGCGCTCTCGCTCGCATGCGCCCAAGCTCGCTCTCTCAAAAATAAAGATTAAGGGGGAAAAAAAAAAAGACAGAAATGAGCAGGG